AACCTCAGCATTGCTAGTCCGGTTATCCCGGTTACACCGTATTGATTCTCTTACACTAATAGCCGAAACCGAGTCTGAGCTTTACAACATTTTTTTCGTGTGATTTTACCACAGAAACTGGGGTTCGTCAAGGTTGTCTACTTTGGGAGTAGAGTTTTAGATGGTCGCGGTCGCCTAGTGGGGTAAGTGTTCAACCTCCATACACTATGTTGGTCAGGTCATGTGTTACGCGTTTCCCCTCGGCAAGCGAGGATTGTCGAGTCAGTTAATCAATGTAAAAAGGCAAAGGTAGTCGGAGTAAGATCTGATTTGAGGGTATGTAAACCTCAACCTGGAGACTCGACCATATAAATCACGTTAGGCTCCCTGATGGGAACCCTGGGGTTTTACCTCCAATCGTGCTTTGCAGACTGATACATGTGGAACGTTTCTGTCGGTATTGACTACATGAATACTCATGGTCAATCACGAATAACCGCTACTCGAGTGTTGACACAGCCAGTAACCAATGATCCTGTGCTTTCTTGGGTATCACTCTGAGAGATATTGTGCTTCCAGTCCTGCGGAGGACCTTGATAATCATTTCTGAAGGTGCATAAAACCAGATCATTTACATCAGAAGTCCAGTTAGACAGGCGCATGACTCAATCAATTGAAGATAGTCACACCACAACTGTACACTACAATGTCACATAAATACTGAATCCCCCAAATATTTATGATACTTTTTATTTGCTATAAACCGAGCCACGCCATATTTACTTTCCCTTATGATTACACGTATTCCCATTGCTGTTCAACCATTTCGCTTCATCATCATCATCTTTTAACTGTCGTCAGCACGACAATTAAGACCAGTTTCTAATATGATATTGGGATGACCAGTGTTCGGCATGCTCTGATCATCGTATTCAAACCAGATACTAAGTACTGGTTGTCTATCATATTGCATTCCTCGACTGAGTCAAGAGGATTGAAACAGTTTACTCAAGAGTCCTCCACGATGAGAAAACGTGCCTTCCAAACCACAGAGATGGAAAGAATTGTTCCACAATACCCGATCGTAAATAAGTTACAGCATTATTTATTCTCCTGTATTGTTCAGTCAGAGTCCGGGGATAAAGGCGAATCCGCGGAATCCATTATCTCAGTGCCTCAATCAGACGTGAGCCCTTCCCTTGTTTATTTTTGCTTAAGTTGCCTTTAGGGCCGATGCGACTAGGCTTAAAGGGCGATTGGCAAATCTGTTACGGGATCAGGCATACTCATACTATCCTGGCATTTTCGTTTACGTAACAGTACATTTTGCTGTTCCTTTTCTTCCCGTCACCCATTTATTAGTTTCTGTCCGAATCCGACAATTTCATTGCTCCTTTATTTTTTAGGGCGCTGAAGTATTTTCCTATCCCGAGGATGATATGGTGGTTGATCCAATGTTGGCCGAGCACTTGGCCCATTTCGGGATTGATATTATGCTGATGAAAAAGACCGACAAAACCTTGGCGGAACTAGAAGTGTCTGCTAACGAGCGCTTGGGCGAGTGGTGTTTGTTACAAGAATCCAATCACCAGCTGGCTCCCCGATACGGCCCGGGTCTGACTGGATTGCGTAATTTGGGCAATACCTGTTACATGAACTCTGTCGTTCAGGTAAGGGTTTTGGAGATTTATAAAACTGTTTCAAAATTCTACTTGCCATGACTGTTATTCCTGCCGCTTGTCTCCACCGTCTTCATATTGGTTTTAACCTTTTAAAAACCTGAACTCATCTTAATCCTCAATAAAATTTCTATACAATAGTCAAATGATTAAACAACTATTTTGCTTGTTGTTCATTTGTTATATAAATGGGAAGGGGACCGCGGTCGTACGAGGATTTCCGTTCGTTATATTGCTTGAATAACTGATCCCGGTACCATGAACGGTTCCGTTTTCATGTGAGAATTACGGATTAACTTTCGCAAGGTCACTTTCTTGTGGTGTTTTGTGCTCGTTGCTTTTTTCTCACGTCGATCATAAAACCTCCAATAATACGTCTCTCTTATCATTATAGCTCATTTTTATTGATACTCATGGATTCTCTAGTCCCTCATTTTCGCTGTCAACGGTTATTATTCACTGGGTCCTTGATTGTCCAATTACAAACATACAGATTCGTGCCCTTTGCGGTTTCATTGACCTGTACTTTAAAGCAATCGTCACACCCGCACACACTTCATTGAGCGCATTCACATTGCATGCTAGCTACGCCTGGTAATGCGGTTAGATTCGATACACTACTTTTCCTCTCTCATGTTTATCATCCGGAATCGCTGCACTGTGCGGATGTTCAACTCGTCAGTACTTGAAACCGATTTAATGTGCTCTTCTGTACCGGATTTGATTTTGTGAGTGCTCGTAAATTTACTCCACTCCCCCCTTGAAACAAAAAGCTCAGTAACATGTTACTGGTTCCGTCTGTTGTTTTGTTCTCGCTCTGTCCATCAAGGTCACTACTCCGCATAGAGATGAAAAAAGCAACAACGAAGTAACAGCATGAGTGTGAATTAGACAGGGTTCCGTCACCCTGCTTCGCTAACTTCAGTACAGAATCGCACGCACCACAGCGAATTCAGTTGGCACAACACATTCACTTTGCATTTCCGTGCTGCACTAGCTTTGGTTGTTGTCTTTAGGTTACCCATTTGATCTAGCGATGTTGATGATGTTGGATTAGAGAGAGAAGTTAAAAGCTCTTGGGTGGTATGAAAATGACGAAACGCACAGTAAATGAACTATTTCTGTGTAGAACCTGAATAAATATATGTACAAGAGTTTTGCTAATCGGGACGGACAACCTGTATTTCCAATTATTGATTAAGTTAGTAACCAGGTCCTTTTAATTTTATCCGGCTTTACTTATACCTCTGACGATGTCTGCCCGGGAGCGTTGTTCCGTTGCAAGCTCGATGCAGAGTGGAAGCCGGTTATGGTTCCTACTTCGGAAGCCATACACAGTTTTCAGACCCAGATGCTCTATGTTTCTTCGACTGCGGTCTTCAACTGTCCACTGCGAGGGCGGCGCCATCTTAAATACGGTGTTAAGAAGAGCGCTCTTCTCAAAAGTTTCGTGGCAGGTTGCTTAAGAACACGTTCAAATCACCGTAGATGACGGTTTTGCAACGATGTAGAAAGCTTTTCGATGCAACGATAGCACCGGCGGACTTACTCCTTAGACAACTGGTTGCGCCACTTTGCCTTCAGGATGTTGCGCAGACACCGGTGATCGAAAACCTCGAGTCTTTGGAGGTCGGACTCTTACTAGTGGTAGTCCAGGACAGAGCGGATGGCTGCTCGGAAGACTCGCATCTTAATCCAAAAACTGATTTCGATGCTTGACCACAGCGTTCGATAGAGTTGTAGAAAAGCCCTTAGAACGTTGTCTACACGTATCTGGATTTTGTCCTTGGCTTGGCGGTTCGGCTTTATGATGGAGCCGAGATGCTTAGAACCTGGGCGACTGGATCACCATCGATGGAGATGAGATGTTGTTTTGGGACTGCGGCGGTCGAGATCGCTTTGGCCTTGGACGGAATTATTTTCTAGCCAGCGGTATTGGCAAACCGGGAGAGATGGTCGAAGATCGGCTGTATGTGTTCCGGCGTGTCTCCGAGAATGACGATTTCGTCCGAAAACCGGAGATCCGCTATCCAGTTTTCCAACCCAAGTTGTATCTCAGGATAACCAGGGAGACCTTCCTACTTCCACTACTATCGTGTTATTCAGTTGCTGTTCGTAGTGCTTAATCCGTTTCTGCAATTGTCCTTCACTTGTATGGCTGGTTCCTATGAGGAGTATCTATCCCGAAGTAGCAAGGATGATGCGAAAGAGCTTTCTAAAGTCTCCGACGCCTGTGGCAACCTTCACTTTGGCTGCCATTCCTGACCAATATGTATCTTCCGGTCCATCCTGAAAAAGCATGTCAAAGCGCTTCATGAGACTTACGGAGTTGTATCTCTCCTGCCTCGTTAGACTGCTAAAGCGTTTCTTCGGGGACCCAATATTTTTACTGTCGCGTCGCCTTCGCTAACGCTGCTTTCTGTATGCATACCTTAAGCGTTATTTACGAAGAGTCCATATCCTCGGCTCGCATATTTGTGCATCAAAGTCTGTGCGTTTTGAATATCAGATCCTCATCCAGGAAGCCCAATGAGACCTATATCACAGTCTCTACTGGTCAGGGTTCTCATACGGTTGTTTCAGTTCGTATTTTGTTCCTTTTGTCTCTCAAATGTTGCCTGTATCATCAAACGCTGCGGAAGCCTACCTAGTGCCAGTGTCCTAGACATCACAATCTATGGAGGTCAAACCCTTGCGTCAGTTTTTAATCGCGATTACACGGAACTTCGCGCGTAACCTCGACATTGCTTATCCGTTTACCACGTCAGATTCGTGCAGTGTGTGCTGTAGACAGCTGTGTTCCAACATCGACTGTGTTTATTCTCCCGTACCGGACACTGTTCTGCACTATATAGCATCAGTGGTGGGACAGCTGCATTTTCAGTGGTAACTGAATATCTCGGCGATACCACAGGTGCCTCAGCTTGACAAACACCGACTTTGGCTTCTGTATGTATGGTGAACATCACGCAAGGTTTCCCCACCGGAAGAGGTAGGTGCAGAATTTACCCACTCTTTTGCCTCCTCAATTAGAGTGAGATTGAGGAGGGACCCGACCAATGAAGTAAGGTAACGGCATGTCACGCTTGGTAAGTACAAATGCACAGAAAGGGTTGCGATGCGCCTGGATCTTCACTCAGTAATGCAATTTCATCTGCGTACTCCATATTGAACAACTTGTCACCTGAAATCATTTTGATGCTACTATCCTCCGCAAGGGCTAAACAGTTTCCCGAATCATACACAGGTAAGAGCGGTAGGAGGGGAAC